CACGGGTGTCGGGATACAAAGCAACCCCGTCGGCACATCTCTCCCTGTCCGTCTGAGCACGCAAACGGTGTTGATGGGCAGCGTTGGTCAGCCGCGGAGGATGTAATGCTTAAGGACCCCGGGTGGGGATAACATTAGGCAACACTTCCCACTGGTTTTGGGATCAGACCCCATAGCCTGGGATGAGACCAAAACGCCCCCAACTGGATTCCAAGGCTCCTTCCCCAGACCCCGGTACCACGAATTTAGCAAACCGGGCAAAGGGGGATAGCCACATTCCATGGGTGTCTTTGCCAATTGAAGATGATCGACCCATCCAGCCCTGAGGGCAGAGTTGCTTGAGCACATTATTATGCATGACCAGCACTCTGGAGACCTTGGAGGCAGAACACACCAGCCTCCTAGACAAGGCGACATTTTTACTGGTGGGCCACCGCACATCTACATACGACACCCCCTAGTGTCGCCTGGCTCTCTTGGCCAGGGCCACTACCGTGCTAAGAGACGCGGCCTTAGACGCACGTGTTTTCACCGACAAGCTTAGCCGGGGGACATCCCCACCTCAGTGATGCAGACTGAACATCCTCCACCCTCTTTGTTCAGGGAATGGTGGGTACAGTCTCGGAGCAACGGAGTGCAATGATCGAATCTGCTAGCCAGTTGGTCCTGCCAAGGGCAAACGGAGGGCACCCCAAGCACAGAAAACACAACGCCCTAGGGCGTCGTCCGCTAGCCAGAGTCAGCCAGGAGGCAAGCGCTTATACCCTTCCATGGGAGGGAAGGGTAGTGGCGCGCCCCCAGAGAGGTAAGAGCCAGGTGGTGGCTCCTCACCCTCTCTGGGCGGACGTCTACCCGGCAGCAGGAGGGGACAGGCACGTGTTCGGTGAATGGCCAGGTCACTACTTCAGGCCTTGGGGAACTCACCTCATGGGGGAAGGGAGCACCCCTCTCACAACTGCCGAACACATGGCCATATATCCCTGTCTTACACAGATTGCGCTGGTGTAGTCCGGTTTGGAGACGGCGGGTGACCGATCCCTGGACCTTTCCAGGTGGTGACATCCGTTTACGGGATACCGCTGAAATCTCCATTTCCCCCGTCAGTGTCTCCCCTGTTGGG